CTATCAACAAGGCTATAAACTCAATAAAAATTCAGATGTCATGGCCATTGCCACAATAGCTACATCGTGTTAGCCTCTTCCTTGCTGCTACCTCTCCATCTGGAGTTATGGCCACTGCCAGCACAGAAGAGGGAGGAGAGGAGAAAGGCACCCTCTTTGGGTAGATGGAGGTAGGAAAGAGGAGTGGATTAGAAGCAGTGTGTTTCAAGTATCTCAAGTTTGAACTCAGAACACATTTTTTCCGATAAAATAATATTATGAATGTTAGATTCAGCTATTTACTACTTTTAGCATGTGCTTCCATTATTTATGTTCCACTGGCAAAGCCTTTTAAAATCTAGGGTCACCTCCATGCCCTCATGGGGCATTAGAGGAGGAACTTGTTGGATACTCAGTTACATAAATAGGATTTGGGGGGGGTAGCCTAGAAACCTAACTGCCATTTATAGTTATCTTAAAGGGAAACTGTTTTACTAGTTCCAAATCAAATTTTGGAAAGCTGTGTATTTCTAAGCTCAAGTTGATTCAACAAATATTTATTAAATGCCTGCTATGTGTAAGGCATTGTGCAAGGTTCTGGAAACAAAGACAAAAAATTGAAATAGGTTTTGTCCTTGAGCATTTTAAAGTATTCTATGGTAGTATGATAGATAAATAGCAAACTATTATTTTGGTTAAGAAGTGGTAGATTACAGTACTCATTTTCTTAGTGAAATAGTTATCTGGCACAACAAAAAAACCTTTCATTATACGACATTTAATCTCCTTTCTCTATACCTTTTTAAAAATTAATTTATTTTAAATTATCAACAATCACTTCCATAAGTTTTTGAGTTTTAAATTTTCCTCCTCCTCCCTCCCCACCTCTCTCTCTAAGATGTTGAACAATCTGGTATTCTCTATGCCTTTTTATAGACTGTTTCCCATGCTTAAGATACATTCCCTCCTCACTTCTGCCTCTATTCCTCAAAGCTCAGCTAAATGCCACCTCCTACATTTGGTCTGTTCTGATTCTTCCTCCCCCATATAGTTTTATATTTATTTTGTATATTCTTGTATGTGTATATGCTGTGTCCCTGGGTAGAGCATACACTCCTTGAGGTCAGGAACTGCTTCAGTTTTGTCTTTGTATCCCCAGCACCTAGTAGAGTGCCTGGCGCCTGTAGGTGCTTCATAAATGCCTATTGATTGGAGGATTGAAAGTAATGTAAGTAGAGTATTACAAGCTCTGGTATGTCTCATAACCATCTGGAAAGGCTTTGAGTACCAGGCCGATAACATATTAAATTAAGCAGATGAGGATCAACAGCTTAACTGAACTCAGAAACACATCGCCACCAGAAGGCCTACGAGTCCCAGCAACTCAGAAAGACTAAGTATAACTTGAAGGTAAAACATATATCAGAAGAGGGAATGCTCACGCCAATGAAATTATGGATTCTTGAAATATTGAAGCATAGGAGATAACTGCTGATATTTTTATTGTGCTTTAAGGTTCACGAAGGATTTTACGTTACCTCATTTGATCCTTTCAACAACCCTACAAGGCTGGATCTACAAGTATTATTACCTTCACTTTATAGATTAAGACACAGAATCACAGAGGTTAACTGACTTGCTTGGACTCACACAATCAATAAGTTTCTGAGGCAAGATTCCAGCTCAAGTATTCCTGACTCTGAGTTCAATGTTTCATTTTGTTTTTTTTTTCTCATCAAATTGTTCCACCTGTCCCAGACTTTGGACTTTGAGTTGTTTATGCCTGGCATAAAGCCACGGTCATAGACCAGCCTTTCATTTTGTAAAGATACCTTGCTAAAGGAGGAAAGGAATCAGACTTCCTTCTAAGCTATAGCTCATGTGACCATTGATGGGTGATAGAAATGATACCAAACCGAGGCACAGAATTCAGACTAGCTTCACAAGCAACTGTTCTCTGATGACATGCCCCACCTTAGCAAGCTTCTGCTATTTTTTTTTCTCCTGAATTGCAGAATTCAAATGCCTTTTTTAGAAACAATTTGTGTTCATTTATAAATGTGCAGTGAGTCTAGACTTGGCAGTAGGGAGGGATTTATGGGAAGTATCTTTGAAATAAATCATAGTTTGACATGTTTAACAGCACTTGGTATAGAAACCCCATATATAAATATCATTTTAGAAAACTACTTTTGTATTTTCATGATATAGCGAAGTGTAAGTAAAAAATTTGAAGTCTACTTGGTTAAAAAAAAATTCACAATCCACACTAAAAAGCAAAATAAAATCTCTGCATGGAAACTAGACTAGTCATGATTTCATTGGTATAGAGAAGTTACAATGAAAAATGCCCTTTTCCAGTGCAGACTAGCCTCTGCTCCACAGTTTATAATCTGAATGGTTAAGTGACTCACCCAAAGTCATAAATTGAGTATATGTTAGAGATGGAACTTGAATCCATCTTTTGACTGAGGCCAGTTCCCTATCTACTTACTACTATTAACTCTCAATTGCTTTGCAAGCACTCCATAAATCCTAACTGACTCGTTCTTGAACAATCTTAAGAGTTAAATTTTGGGTAGAGGGTTTAAAGTCAAACAACTGACCTCTAAAAGTGCTATTCTAAGAGAAAAGCTGAAATTGATATAGGGTTTTTTTCCTCCTGCTACAAAACAGCTATGTCTCATAAAGATGCTATGCTTTATTTTATTTTATTTTTCCAGTGAATTGTGGCTGGTTTCACACATACACAATAATAATGATTGTCGAAGCAAACACTTTTGAGGAGGGACAGAGTCAACGGAGAGAATAGAATAACTAGAGAGTGGGATAAGATGAAGGGAAATATAGTTAATTTTTCACAACATGGCTATTATGGAAGTATTTTGTATGACTACACATGTATAACCTATATCAAGTTGCTTGCCTTCTCAATAAGAGTGGGTGGGGAGGGAGGGAGAGAATTTGGAACCCAAAGTTTTAAAAACAATGTTAAAAATTGTTTTTACATGCAACTGGGAAATAAGATATATAGACAATGGAGTACAGAAATCTATCTTGCCCTACAGGAAAATGGAAGAGGAAGGGGATAAGAGAAGGGGAATGTGATAGAAAGAAGGGCAGATTTGGGGAAGGAGTATTAAGAATGCATGCCATCTTGGGGTGGAGGGAGGTGAGAGATGGGGAGAAAATTTGGAACTCAAAATCTTTCAGAAGTGAATGTCAAAAACTGAAAATAAATTAATGATTGAGAAAAAAAATGATTGTCTTTTGAATATTTGAAGGGAGTAAATCTCCATATAGAAGAGGCTCTATGATACATTCACATAGTAGAACCTACTAACATTACTATTTACTACTACTACTACTACTACTACTACTACTATTACTCTTTCTTTAATGATACAAAAATGTCACTTCGATATGATAAGTGTAAAATTCTTAGTGTACACCAAGGAAATGCAAAGGACTTTGCATTATCTCATTTGATTCTTACAACAACCCTAATAAGGTAAATACTACTTAAGTATTACTAGCCTCATTTTACAGATTAAGAAACAGGGACTTTAATTTATTTAATTGACCCCAGAATTAACTCCAGTTAACTGACTCCAGAGACTGGAAAAGCCTACATATAACCTCCAGGTAAGACACTCTGAACACAAAGACATCAAGGAGAAGACCATGGCTGAATATGTTGAGACTTACAGGCATCCTGAAATCAAAGGTGAAAATGGTTCATTATTATCAATGAGTGTACTTTATTATCAAAGTACATTATTATCCCAGTTGTCCTGTCTGCTACGGGAGTTGTCCTGAGAATACTTTCAATGAGTTTACAGAAAATGAGTTTATAAATCCTAATCTTTCTATTCAGTTATAAAAAGCAGCTATGGAGGCAAACAGGGCTAACTGACTTGCCCAGGGTCATGCAACTAGTAAGTATCCAAGGCCAGATTGGAGCTCAGGTTCTCCTGACCCCAGGGCTGGTGCTTTATCTGTTGTACCAGCTAGCTACCCCAAAAAGCAGTTATTTTAAACACTTTTGCAAAAGTCTATAGAACATCAAATGTAAAATATTGTAAGAACAGCAACTTGTCCCAGGACCATTTCCTATGAACCCCAACAAAAAAGATAAGAAGAAAGAGATGGTGATGTAATAGTGGCTAACGAGCTGGCCTTGAAGCCAGGAAGCCCTAGTTTCAACTCTTGCCTCTAATGTATGTATACTGTCTGTGTAACTGTGGGCAGGTCACTTAACCACTCCATGCACTAGCCAAGGGATAGGCAAACTATGATCGGTAGGGCCAAATCCAGCCTGAGAGTCAGATTTTACACAGCACTTAGCTAAAAATGGTTTTTACATTTTTAAATGCAATAAAGTCATTTTAAAATATAAAAACCATTCCTAGTTCCTGCTGTACTGGAGGAGGCAACAAGCCAGATTTGGTCAGCTGGCAGGCCAACCCCTGCCCTAGGGCAGCTCATTAAGACTCTAAATTGCAGAGAAGGTGCCAACCTGTGTCGGTAAGAGTTTCTTCCCTTGAGAGTTCCTTATACCATTGAAATGACAGGTCTAGTTCCTAACCCTGATAATATTAATAATAAAAAAGGAATTCAACAGAAAAAACATCAAAAATACTTCCTAATAAACATTTTTTGAAAAGAACCAATGACATCACAAGTGTGATGTCTTGACTTGCAAGTGAATTGTTTTTTATTTTGGGAAGGGAGAGGCAATTTGGGTTAAGTGACTTGCTTAGGGTCACACAGCTAGTAAGTGTCAAGTATCCGAGGCTGGATTTGAACTCCGGTTCAGGGCCAGTGCTCTATCCACTGCACTACCTAGCTGCCCAAAGTGAACTGGATTTAAGTGAGGCAGAGCTGTGCAAAGTCATCAGCCTCAAGGTTTTCCATTTATGTTTAGCCAGTTGTATGATCATACTGTAAATTCCAAAGCCTAACTGGTGACAGGTGACATCTTACAAAAACCCAATAATACATTAGTTCATTAAACCTACCTTTTATACTGGGCCGTGTAGGTCACATTTCCCTTATAAAAATCAGGTGGCTCCCAGTGCAGAATGTTCTTCAAATTAACTGAATTCATTCTTACATTTTTGGGCTCTGGAAGTATTCCTAGCACTGTAAAAATGAAAGGGGAAGGAGGAGATTGAACTTTCATGAAACAGGGTGTCAAAAGGAAAAAAATAGCTTAGCCCCATGCCCTGCCATTGTAGGTACTTAATGAATGTTTATTGCCTAAAAAAAATACATAGATTCTATAGCCATCACTTTTTCTCCATCTTTCCAAAATGTTGTATTTAAAAAATGCAAATACTAAAATAAATATGTACATATGTATGTATATATACATAAGTATGTATGTGCATGGATATATATCTTCTAAGCTATGTCCTCATTCATCAGACCAAGTTAATACTTTTTAGGAAGTACAACTATACTTTGGTAGTAGCAAAGAATGGAGGAAAACAACAAGCAGATGCCTACTGATTTGAGAAGTTGTGGTGCATGAATGTATTGGACTATTACTATTACTGAACAGGAAGAAATGGTGAATATGACAAATACAAAGACCTATGGGAAAACTGATGCAAAGTGAAGTAAACAGAACAATGAAAAGAACATGCGTAATGACTGCAATAATTAGCTGGAAAGAACAAGAAAATGATCAAAATTGAATGCTACAGAATTATAATGCTCAAACTGGACCCAAAGAAGAGAATGGGAATGTATCTCTTTCCTTTTTTTTTTTTTTGCAGAGGTGGGATACTATGGGTCTGAAACACTACATATATCAGATTTATTGGTGTGTTGACTAGTTTTGCTGCACTAGTTTTTTCCCCTTTTTAAAAAAATATTTTCTTTCAGTGATTACTTTTTGTGAAAAGGATGGAGAAACTTACTAGAAAATATGTAGGTGATGTAAAAACAAAAGCTGTCAACTTTTAAAAAACAAATAAATTTTACCTGTTTTGGCAAGAGGCTGGTATTTTTGCATGTTCTATTTATCTTGGCTGTCATGGATATCCTAACTCTGTTGGTTCAAATTTTTTATAATTTTCAAATTGCCATTCAGTCACACTGCTAAATTTTTTTTTTCCAAACCAGGAAATGGATCCAGGCATGTGATAGGGGCAGCATCTACTACTTATCAGGTTGAGAAACATGGCAATAGGCCCCATTTTTCAGCTAGAATTTCATAATGCATGGTCAGAGAAGACTTGGAAGTCCTTGCTACTTTGGCTAGTTTTTTCCTAAAAAGGCAATTCTTGATTCAGAAAACTAAGGCTTTAATCATTTACATAGCTTCCCAGTTGCTTAAAGTGTTAAAGGCCATACTAGTTGGCATTCCTCAAGCTTGATGGACTTCCAGTTGCCTGAGGAGTCACTTATCTGCTGTCTCTCTCAGTTTCACCAACTGTAAAACTAGCTCTCAGTGTTATTGTGAAGATCAAATGAAATAAGATCAGTAAAGTGCTTAGGACAGTGCTTCGTACATGTGGTTAATAAAGGCTCTTTCCTTTCTTCCTTCTGATGTGCCATCATGGCAAATATGGAGGCAAGAGAAGCTGTGCCCAATGGAACAAATGCTCTATCTTTTTTGAATATCCTTTCCATACTATTGTTGTGTAAGCTGCCCTCTGTTAAATGTTGTGTGGTCTACCAGTATCCTATTCTGTTCCAATCCTGAGCCTGAACCACAGGACCAGTCTTTGTCTGGTCTGGAACAAGGTATTTCGGCCTATGTAGGCTAATTAGCTTATTGTCACATCAATTAGAATGGGATTGGGTCAAGAAAGAAGACAAATTGTGGGAAAGAGCATTTTAATTAAAAATTAACTTAAAATTGTCCATTAAAAAAGCCGGACTTTTAGCAGTTAGCAATAAGCATTTACTAAATAGCTCCTATGTGCAAGACACTGTGCTAAGTGCTAGGGATAGAAAGAGGGGCAATCAGGTTAGTGATGCTCAGTGTTATTGCAGATTGTACTGCATTACTGTCATGACAATGGAGATACTACCACTTACAGAAAAAAGCAACTCCCTGAGAAGTCATATAAATGCAGGGCTGGTGGTGAACTGAAGCCCAAACAATGGTCAGTGTTTGATAGTAGATCTCTCTTTTTTCATCTCATAATCTTTTTAACTACAACTACAAGTTAACTGTGTCTTCAGGTGGAGAACCAGAGCCCCCAGGTGGGGAAATGGAAATCTTAAATGAAGCAGAGTAGGAGGGAATCCTGAACCTGTTACCTGATGCTCCTTTGTTTCATGGATTGTCATAGTCAAAAATTCATCACTGAGTGGCCAGCCTACTGATGACGCTGAGCCTCTCTAGACTTAGCCAGCCTAGTTTTCTGAAACCAGACGTGGTATCAGTATCAACAGCATCCTACTCAAAGCCTTTTTGTTATGATAGAAATGAGCAGAGCTTGTATTCTCTTGGCACAGCTTTTAAGAACTCATGGTACAGAAGAACTGGAACCATTTTTATAGAAGGCAGCTTGATGTAGTGAAATGAGTGTTGAATTTGGAGTCTGGAGAAACTTGGGTTCAAATTCAGCCTCTGATGCTTTCTAGCTGTGTGACAGTGGGCAAGTCATTTAACTTCTTTGGCCCTCAGTTTCCTTATCTGTAAAATGGAAAATAATACCTATCATATAAGGTAGTGACTTGCCTCACAGGGGAAAGACTGCCTGCCTTGGAATCAGTAAGACCTAGCAAGTTTTGTCTCTGACATATAATGGACATGTGACTACAAGTAAGTTATTTAACCCCTCAGTGTCCCTAGGCAATTCCATTAAGATTATAAATTACCACTTGCCAACGTGCATTGATGAAAGGAATTACTGCATCTTCAGGCCCCTACACTGATGAAATCATGACTGGATTAAAAAAAAAGTCCCTAAAAGTCTCTACCCCCAGGATTGTTGAATATATATAAAAAATGCTTTACAAACCCTTAAAGTGTTATGCAGATGGATATGCTCATATGTATATGCAATTGTGAAGAGCTGCAGGAGATTATATTAAAATATATTTTGTATTGGTTTTCATCAAATTTCAATCATTTAATAATTTTTTTTGTGTGTGTGTAATTAAAAACAATGGCACATGAACTATCCAGAAAAGCTATGAAATATCTTTCTGGAAATCTTTTATAACATGCCACATATACACCAGGCACATAATAAATGTTTATGGACTAAACTGATAGAAACATCCCAGAAATCGGAAGCTGTGTAAATGATGTCATGCTGGGAACCCTAAATAGTATTGATTTGTGAGGAGACTTCTGATTGTAGAATCAGAAAGGACCTTAGAGGTCACCTAATCAAACCCCTTCATTTTACAAGTAAGGAAACTATGCTTGACAGTTGAAGTGATATTCCTGTGGTAACTGGTATTAAGTAGTCAATTAGTATGCTAAATGTACTGTTTCTTCACATGAGCCCTTAAATTCTCCTATAACAACTAGTACATTAATCAGTAAAAAATATGTTAAATGGGTGCTGGGCCTAAAGATAAAAACGTATATATATATATATATATATATATATATATATATATATATATGTTTATATATTTTATAGCATATAAATATTATATTATACAAATTTATATTTATTTATGTTACTATATCATATTTATATCATATATTTATAAGATATATATATACAAAAATAAATCCCAAGGAATAGATACCATATGTATATGCATCTATAGACATATATAAATATACTTATATATACATAATATATTTATATATTATATCATGTTAATGTAACATGTATTTATATATTTCACATATCATATATGTATACAGACACATATGCTACATATATAGACACATACATAATACATTATACATACATGCATGCATATAAGTGTCTGCTCCCTGGGATTTATTTTTGTCCTGGAAGACTCCAGAGATGAGACAGAGCTAGTCATGCAGGTGATAGAGAGAAGAACCTGGTGGCGATGTAAGTCAAGAATGGGATGAGCAGCTATTCACTACCATCATCACAATCCAATCCCCCAATCAGAGTATAGGTTTGGTTCTTGGACAGCCTTGAATGTTTGTTTCTCAAAAGGAGGGAATTGTTGAAGAAAAAGCAACATATTATAGTGGAAAGAGTTGTGGATTTACAGCCAGGGGCTTGAGCTTGAGTCCTGGTTCTACTCAAAGTAAATGGCTTACTAGTTGGTGTGTGCTTTTGTTATGTATCATGGATCTGTAATGGCCCAAGTATTAGCAACCAGAAAGAGCATACTGTAGCATATCATCTATGGGCTCTTTTTAAAAGATAATATAAAATTTAAAATTCTAAGTTTCCCAAATTAATTTTTTCATCACTCAAGAACATTCTAATTTACATGTATATGATCTAATAAGTTCTTAAGTGGCCCAAATAATCTTCAATCTTTGTCAGTTTCCTGATTTAGAGACATATAATTTCTAGTATAGCAGATACTACATCAAAATGATGATTTGAAAATAATTGACTTAACAAGAAAAGGAAAAAGAATCCAGAAAAAGCTGTGCTGATTCAAATCAGAAGTGGTTCCTAGAATTGAGAAATTGTGCAGATGTACAGGAAATCTCACTGAATTTGGTTCTATGTCAGCCCAAGGAATGAGTGAGGCTCACTTTTGATGTAGTATCCAACTTCATTTCCCCTCACTTTCCAAAATATGCTAGTTAAACCAATTTTATGTACTTTCTGTTAAATAGCTCTTGTTTTTGTTTCCCTAACCAGATTTAAATTCCAAATAAATTTTTTCTACAGTAACTCCATATCATTTAGTAGAGTTGACAGCTGTGAAGTATTAATTAAAAGTTGTCGAATGAACTATTTACATTGGAGGTTTGCAATGGTATTGTGAAATATACTTCCAGGGAACCAGACTATAAGACATTTATGAAATATTTCACTTGTGTGAGGAGATTTCAAATTGAAGCCCAACATACTAGGGTAAGATTCTAGATTTACATTCGTGGCATCATAATATAGCATTAGGAAGAGACAGAGTAGATAAGAAAGTGGAAAAAAATAGAAGTGACCCAGGGAAATACTGGCAGGGCCGGAAGATCAGGCAGCTCTGCCACTTAAGGAAGGGATAAGGGCGTCAGTATAATCTTCTTGTATCATCAGGAAGTGGCACAACCCCTAGGCTGGGTGATAATAGCTAATGTGTTAGGAAGAATCTCTCTCTCTGTTTCTCTGTCTCCTCCTCCTCTTCTTCCTTCTCCTCGTGTGCATGTGGGTGTAGTGTGTGTACGCGTGAGGGTGGTGTGTTTATGTATCTGGTGGAGGTGTGTGTATGCGTGTGTGAGACCCCACTCACAGCCATGGGAGTCCGAGTAAATTTTTTGGTGCGGAGAAGACAGAAGTAGAAAAGTGTCAAAAATGGGCGGGGGTGGTTGTCAGGTTTTCTCCGAGTGTGTGGAAGCGTGGGGGAGAGGAGAAGGGAGACTTCAGAAGATTTCACTTCAGATCCCAGTCCCTGGAAGTCTCCCAGGCCACAATCCCTCTTCCAGCTCTTCAACTCACCTGTGATTAAGAGGCAGCTGTACAGCCAGGGCTGGAAACTCCTATCCATGTTCGGGAGCTGCGATCTTGCCTCGGGAGCTAGCCTCTTGTCCCCTTCGTCTACATAACTGTTTCTTTGGGGACGCTTTTTTGGGTGGAGAAAGGAGAACCAAAACCCCTCGAGAAGGAGGGGAAGGGGATGCCCGGTGGTGCCTTTTACCTGGCTCGGTAACCTAGCCTTTGCAGAGACAGCCCCTGGCCCCGCCTCCTCCTTCTCTCCACCCCTCTGGCCTCGAGCTTGAACGTCACTGGTCCATCCCAGCACTATGGGGTAAATTACAGGAAACTAGCCCGCAGGGTTGGGCGGGGAAAGGCCCTGGGGTCTGCGCTTCCCACTCGACTTGTGATTGCCCAATTCTGGCTGCAGAGTAGGGAAGTCTGAGGCTTTGTCTCATTTTAGCCCACTAGGCCTTTTCCTGTCACCATCTAGGGCCCACGGCCAACCCAAATGGCCCCTTCATTCCTTCTAATTGCGCTCAGGGGAATGGAAGTCACCATGCTCTGAGAAAATTTTCATTCAATTTAAACGTACAGGTACATTTAGTGTCACCACGTTGGGGGCATTGTTCTCGGTGCTGGAGATGTAAAAAAACAAAAGAAGGTCTCACCCTCAAGGAGGTTACTCTTTAGGTAGCAGAAGAGTGGAAGACAGGATATTATCTGCACAAAGATATGTCCATACACAGGTGGAGGAGCTCCTTTGCAACGTAGAAGATCCCCTGCTGGGCTACTGTAGCTGGAAATAGAGTAGTCTTACTGATGTCACCCGGACTACCCAGCAACAGAAACAGCTGCTCATTTAAATCTTAGTCTATGTCTTTTAGACTGCTTTAATGCTCACACACACAAATGTAATTGGTTCAGGGGCAACTCGGGTATATTTGCACTCTCTTTTACAATGCTTGTGGATGTGAACCCCTATCCAGTTCAGCTCATCTGAACAAATATGTTTCTTGGTCTCTGAAAGGGGAATCCCACTCTCTCTAGTCCTAAGGCCCATTGGTATGAGAATTTCCTCTTAGTGGTAGGGATGAGTGCCCACTTGCCTGAGGGATGGAGTAGTCAGTCAGGAAATAACATAGCTCTAACCATCATCATCCATTATCTGGCTCAGGATGCTGAAAGAAAAGATTCTGGGAAGACAGGAAAAGATGGGGTAGTCTTTGGTATGTCCCTATTCTCAGTTTGCTACTCTAGAGACTTTGGGGAATTTCCTTTTGGGTGAAATGCAAGACCTTCTATTTTGGTTGAGCTGAGTTATCTCAATCCCCTTGAGAGCTCTTTCATTATGTGTTTTCTGGTATATGTTCTTTGATTTCTGTTTTGCTATGATCTGGATAAATGGGCTTCTTTGCTATTCACTTTGTGTGTTCATTGTAGAACTGATATTAGGTAGGAAAAGGGAGGGCTTTGGATATAGAGCTGGGGGGTGGGTGTCTTCCTCCCAGGAATGAAAAGTGATCAAAAGTGAGATGGAACCCAATCATATCCCCTAGATTAATAATATTCAAGGGAACAAGATAGATCTACTTCCAGTGAGCATCCCTTCTCTCTGATGAGAGTAGAATGGACTCTAGCTTCTCCTGGCAGGAATGAAACTCTCCCTTGGAGAAGGGTGCAAAAAAAAGAGGCTAGAGATGTCAATTCTGTCTCCCTTCAAGCCATATACAAGGACAACCATCTTCCCCACACCAATCTTTCTCTATATGTGGGTTTCCACACTCCATTCTTTACACATTTTAAAGGCTTAGAAATGAAAATGAACATTTAATGCATGGTTAGGCTAATTCTTTTCTTTAAAAATATTGAGACGTTCCTTAGACTTGGTTAGCTCAGCAAAGGGCTTAGACTGTTGAAGTTTTTCCTCAGTACCTGAGTACAAAGTGACCAAGAAGAACTAAAGGGACCCCTCAGATGCTTAGCTGGTGAATCAAGATGGGAGTTTTGGTGAAGTAACATCAACTCAAGAGTATGATTATCCTTGTTGAATATGCTACAGCTAAGTATATCTCCTTTTGTTAACTGTTGAATGACTTACTAGTGTCCCATTTTGTTCTAATGTCGAATCTAAATTCCCAGGGGATAATTATTTTTAACTGATTGTGTATATATGATCCATCTCCTCTGTCTCTCTCTCTCTCTGTCTCTCTCTGTCTCTCTCTCTCTCTCTCTCTCTCTCTCTCTCTCTCTCACACACACACACACACACACACACATAACATCCCCTTCATCTGTCCTTGATAGGCTGTCCTACTGTTGGACTTGTCAACTGGACTGAACTGGCCTTTAACTTGTGGATGGCCAGAGCCAAACAGAACAGGCTAGAGATAGGTGAGTCAGGAATCAAACATAAGTTTAATTTCAAAGTGAGACAAACAGCTTCCAAGTGAAGTCCTCTTTTTTACAAAGGGGAGATCACTTGCTTGTGGTAGGGGTAGGGCTTTTAAGCATGAAAACCTTAAAGAGCTGGATCATAACACAGGCATTCTTGGGTCTTGAGTAAACAGTCTTCAAATCTTTAGGGTCATTGAGTGCTGTGGTTGTTCAGCAGGGCGAAGAGTCCGGATTACCGTGCCGGGACCTTTTGCTCTTGAGCAGCATCAGGGCACCTGATTTGGTTCATTTGCTGATTACAAGCATGGGGGATTGTTGATATTTACAGGCTCAGGGGATGGTTGAGCATGTCAAGGGGTCTGATTGATCACTTTTGCTGCGGTCTCAGCTTCCAAGTCAGGGTCCCTTGGAAAGTAGGGAAGCTCCAACAAATCTAAAGGGTTAGTAATTTTAAATGGGATTTTTCTTTCTACCTCCTGCTTCTGGGCGTCGTTAGTAATACGCCTATGATTTGTGTGGGTTTATATTATATCCTGCAACTTTGCTAAATTTGTTATTATTTCAAGTAATTTTTTACTTGATTCTCTAGGATTCTCTAGATATACCATGATCTGCAAAGAGTGATAGTTTTGTTTCTTCTTTGCTTATTCTAATTCCTTCGATTTTTTTCTTCTCTAATTGCTACAGCTAACATTTCTAGCACAATATTGAATAACAGTGGTGATAATGGACATCCTTGTTTCACCCCTGATCTTATTGGAAATGCTTCTAGCTTATCCCCATTACATATAATGCTTGCTGATGGTTTTTGATACATGCTATCTATCACTTTAAGGAAGACTCCATTTTTTCCTATGCTCTCTAGTGTTTTTTTTTTTAATATAAATTTATTTATTTTTAGTTTTCAACATTCACTCCCACAAGTTTTTGAATTCCAAATTTTCACCCCATCTCCCCCCTCCCCCCACCCCAAGATGGCATGCATTCTGAATATCCCTTCCCCTACTCTGTCCTCTCTTCTATCTCTCTCCCCTTCTCTTATCCCCTTCCCCTTCTATTTTCCTGTAGGGCAGGATATACTTCTGTACTCCATTTCCTGCATTTCTTATTTCCCCAGTAGCAGGTGAAAACATTTTTTTTTAAACATATGTTTTTAAAACTTTAGGTTTCAAATTTTCTCTCTTCCTCCCTCCCTACCCACCCTCATTGGAAAGGCAAGCAACTCAATATAGGTTGTACATGTGCAGTTATGCAAAACATATCCATAGTAGACATGTTGTGAAAAACTAACTCTATTTCCCTTAATCTTATCCTGCCCTCCCATTTATTCTATTCTTTCTTTTGACCCTGTCCCTCCTCAGAAGTATTTACTTCTGATTACCCCTTTCCCAATCTGCCCTCCTCTCTATCATCCCCCTGCTCTCTTGTCCCCTTCTCCCCTATTTTCCTGTAGGGTAAGACAGATTTCCATACCCAATTGAATGTGTATGTTATTCCCTCCTTAAGCCAAATCCTATGAGAATAAGATTCACTCATTCCCTCTTACCTTCCCCGTTTCCCCTCCTCTGTAAGACACTTTTCTGTTTTTTTTTGTGAGATAATTTACCCCATTCTACCTCTCCCTTTCTTCTTCTCCGAGTATAATCCTCTCTCATCCCTTAATTTTATTCTCCAGATATGACCCCTTAATCTTCAACTCACCCTGTGCCCTCTATCTATCTACATATACATACATATAATTTTTTTCCCCAACTACCCTAATACTGACAAAGGTCTCATGAGTTATAAATATCATCTTTCCATGCAGGAATGTAAACAGTTCAATCTTAATAAGTCTCTTATGATTTCTCTTTCCTGTTTACCTCTTCATGTTCCACTTGAGTCCTGTATTTGAAAGTCAAATTTTCTATTCAGCTCTGGTCTTTTCATCAGGAATGCTTGAAAGTCCTCTATTTCACTGAATGACCATTTTTTCCCCTGAAGGATTATACTCAGTTTTGCTGGGTAGGTGATTCTTGGTTGTAATCCTATCTCCTTTGCCCTCCAGAATATTATATTCCATGCCCTGCTGTTCCTTTAATGTAGAAGCTGCTAAATCTTGTGTTATCCTGATTGTGTTTCCACAGTACTTGAATTGTTTCCTTCTGGCAGCTTGTAATATTTTCTCCTTGACCTGGGAACTCTGGAATTTGGCTACAATATTCCTAGGAGTTTTCCTTTGGGGATCTCTTTCAGGAGGAGATCTGTGGATTCTTTCAATTTCTATTTTGCCCTCTGGTTCTACTATATCAGGGCAGTTTTCCTTGATAATTTCTTGAAAGATGATGTCTAGGCTCTTTTTTGATCATGGCTTTCAGATAGTCCAATAATTTTTAAATTCTCTCTCCTGGATCTATTTTCCAGGTCAGTTGTTTTTCCAATGAGATATTTCACATTGTTTTCTAATTTTTCATTCTTTTGGATTTTTTTTTTACAGTGTCTTGATTTCTCATAAAGTCACTATCTTCCAATTGCTCTATTCTAATTTTTAAGGAAGTATTTTCTTCAGTAAGCTTTTGGACTTCCTTTTCCATTTGGCCAATTTTCTTTTTAGGGCATTCTTCTCCTCATTGGCTTTTTGGACCTCTTTTGCCATTTGGGTTAGGCTATTTTTTAAGGTGTTATTTTCTTCAGTATTTTTTTGGGTCTCCTTTAGCAAGCTGTTGACTTGTTTTTCATGATTTTCTTGCATCACTCTCATTTCTCTTCCCAGTTTTTCCTCTACTTCCCTTACTTGCTTCTCAAAATCCCTTTTGAGCTCTTCCAAGGCCTGGGACTGATTCATATTTTTCTTGGAGGCTTTGGATGTAGGAGCTTTGACTTTGTTGTCTTC